GAAAAACATTTATGTGGCCATCCCCAAATTTTGTTGAGCATATGGATTAGTGTTTTTGTTGTTAATAGTTTGCATAGAATATTGTTCAAAAAGTAGCAGATATGCTACCTTGACTTTTAATCTAATCTATTTCTCTCTCTGTTCAGATTCTCCAGTCCATCAGAAAAAGGAAACAGCACACGTCTGTTGGCACTATAATTGGGATAGTGATTGCTGCTCTATTTACGGTCTTGCTGGTTCTGAGTATTTTTTGGTGGAAGGGATGTCTCAGATACTCTAGAACAAGGTAAATGCAATTATTGAACATTAGGGCGAACAGTCATCATCTTACTGTTCATTTGCGTATACAGATTACAGAATGCTGTATGCAGTTCTTCATGCACATAATATAATCTAGTGCAGTCTAATTAACTCTGTCAATCTTCTTTAAATTTGTGTCTATTGACTAGAAATAGAGGTGCAGTTGCTCTAAAACTATTTCAATAATTCTTTTTGCTAGATCTAAAGGGTCTAGGCCAACACACTGGATTATTTACCCTAAGGCAAATTAGAGCAGCCACAAACAATTTTGATCCTGCCAATAAAATCGGAGAAGGTGGTTTTGGTCCTGTGTACAAGGTATCCTAGGGAAGATCTAATTTCAATATAATATTTTTAAGTTTTTTTCATTATAAACCCAGTCACAGGGGTTGCTGGAACCTTTTGATGTTTCCATTTTGACATCAAATGTTGTTTGAAGGGCCATCTTCAGTCAGATGGAACCATCATAGCAGTGAAGCAGCTTTCTTCCAAATCAAAGGATGGGAACCGTGAATTCGTGAATGAAATAGGCATGATTTCTGCGCTACAGCATCCTCATCTTGTAAAGCTATATGGGTGCTGTATTGAAGGCAACCAGTTGTTGCATGTCTATGAGCACATGGAGAATAACAGCCTTGCTCGTGCTTTATTCGGTAAGTTTCAAACATAGGCTTAATTGACTTTGTTACTTTTGTTTGTGAATGCATGATAATGAGATGCGTGGACTTGATTTTC